ATCGACACCTGCATTGCTTTCTCAGTAGAAGGCGGAGATGTCATTAGTGACCGCAACGCTGTCAGGCCGGAGTAGCCACTCTACACGCAACGGGCCTATTCATTCATCCCATCCGAGAATGAACAAGCGTACACCAGAAAACCGCACCCTCACCACTTCAAAGAATTCTTTCGTGATGCCGAAAATGTCCGCCAGACCGAAACACTGTCAGCGCCGCAGGCTACCACCAACGAGCTAACGCAACTATCACGGACACCCAAACATTACCCCGGGACTTCTAGCTCACCATCCACAACTATCGACATAGCCACGATCACCAGAATCGTCAAGAGTCACTTCGAGAGACCAAGCAGCAAATGCAACCACAACCACCACCACCGAGCCCAAACCGACGCGTCCGCTACCAGAGCCAACACCCGATCGTTGGTCTCACGGCAGCCGAACTCGATGCCATGGATGGTGCTGGACTCACGGTTACTGCCAAACCCAGCCCACAACAGTGATAGTGCAACTTCCCAAAGAGGGCCACAACATCCAGCCACCGCACAAAACAAAAGGAGGCAGCAACGAACGATAACCAGCCCCGCCGCGGAAACTGATTCGAGGGACGCCTAACAATAACAGTCAATCTAAAAAATTAGACCCACGTTCAAAAGAACAACAACGTCCGTTAGTTCCCCACCACCAATAAAAAACACCAATTACTGGTCCTTAGATAGTGCAGCCACGTCTCATTTTCTAATTGGAATGCTAGTTGTCAAAACAAACCCCCACTACCAACAGACAGCAGAAGAGAGATTATCAAAGAGTTCCTCGATGTTTGTGGGTGGAGTCCAAGGGTGGGTGAGGAGTTCACGATTGGCAGAAGATCAGTCTCTGTGATTTTACCAGTATGTGGTCACTAGATGGTGTAATGATGTCAAAGGGGCTGGTGTTGCCGTATCCCACATTCGATCTTTGAGGGCCTTTTTGTAAGTGATCGTTAACGGGTTCCAAAATCTGCTGGAGGATTGGGCTCTCTGTTTTGTGGTATAATTCCCTCCTTCAGTTCATTTTTTGTAGTTTGGTCGTGGCGGTAATGAGTGCTTGGTGGCGTTTGGCAGGCATGTAAGGGTGTTGTCTGGTTTGATCGTGACGACGAATGCAACGTTGCCTTGGGATGCTGCAGTGTATGCTGCCTGGCCAAGGATGATGTAGGCGTGGCCTAATCTGCCATCACCGTCCTCACTGGAGATAGCTCTGTGTTTGCAAGAACCTGAGAGATGAGGAGGGATAGCTTCCTCTGGTCAGGTTTGCCAATGATTGGTGTGAGGATGGGGTGTGGCATTGCCTCAGTTGGTGTAGTGGTGGTCATTGTAGGAGAGGGTAGAATTGGATTTGAAGTTGGGCGACACGGGTATATTTAGTTCCCTTTGTCGGACGTTTAAGGCCTGTGTGTCTAGGTGGTGTATTGTGGTAGTGGTATTGTAGGTTGGTGTGGTGTTTTGTTGGCTAGTAGCGGTATCAGCTGTAGCGGTATCAGTTCGGATTCGGTGGTTCGTTCGAGGATTAGAGGTTCGTTCGAGGATAGGGTCGTTTCGAAGATAGAGTTCGTTCGTCGATAGAGGTGCGTTGTGGATAGAGGTCGTCGTCGATAGAGGTGCGTTCGTCGATAGAGGTGCGTTCGTGCTGTTCGAGGATAGAGGTGGTTCGTCGAGCGATAGAGGTTCGAGGATAGAGTTCGTTCGAGGATAGAGGTTCGTTCGAGGATAGAGGTTGTTCGAGGATAGAGGTTCGCTCGTCGATAGGGGTGCGTCGATCGGTGTAGCGGATCGGTGGTTGTATTGTTATCGGTTGTATAGAAGGATCTTATAACATCTGTTGAAGAGACTAAAGGTAGCGAGAGATGTATTACGAATGATGTTATAAGATTATGAGGAAACGCTACTTTGTTGTCTCTGGATATCTGTAGATGAGTGGAGGCTAGATTCCGGTTGACGGTGGACGGTCAGACGGCCGGAATCAGCACGTGCAACCTCTCGTCTATCGGTACCAGCTAGCCAGAAACTCTTTTGCAACTCTTTTTAGATTGCTTTACTTCAAGTTGTATCCATGCAATATGGGGAGAATCTAGCATTCCCTCCCAGCTACTCTAGTTGATGTGTAATCATTCAGGACGGCCATGCAATAACATATGCTTCAAAAAGACAGGTCCCTTCGTGTTGATTGTACATGATTGAGTCCTTTTTGTTACGGCATGATCCATCCTGCCACTGTCGCCACAACACCCACCAACAGTGTAATTGTCGTCTTTGTCTGGACCGCTCCGGAATTGGAGATGGTGATAAGCTGCGGCCCATCAGAAGATTCTGTGGGTTGTGGTTTTTCTTGTGCAATGGCCTTGAGTTTGTATTGGGTGTAATAAAACTCGGATTTTTCGGCTGTGTTTTCCATCACCGCCGTGACATCAAGAGTGATATCTGGTCCGAAAATGACTTCGGTAATGAGTATCTCTCCTCGAATCAAATACTTGGGCTCGGCATCTTTATGGGTCAATCCTGCCGCTTTTTGGTCTCCACAATAATTTCCTTCCAGTTTGGTGTTAATTCTTTGTTCTTCTTCTTCCGTCTCGGCAGAAAGAGGCGAGAGAGAGTTTGTCAAATCAAAATTGCCAGTAGCGGAAGAAATTCGAATCAAAAAGCCCTTGATACCACCACCGTTATACGGTGCTCTCAGCAAGAAAGGTGTAGGTTGGTCGACAAAGACAGTCAAGGGACGATCCACTCGCATTTCATCACCATCGACGCTAAAGTTAATCTCGTTATCTTCCAGAGTGCCATTGATCACAGTGCTGCCCGCCAAGTGAGATCCCCCCACCGCCGCCATTCCGCCTGGGCAACTTCCAGCGCCCGCGGGAAAGGCAGTTGTCTTCCAGATAAGCACTACGAGTGCCAGCAGACGAGTCTGTAGATGACTGCATGTTCTTGACGGTGTTGATATCATGGTGATAGAGACAGCAATAGAAGGAAAGGGAGCTATGGAATAGAACAATCGGGTGCGAACAATCTTCTACTACTTTAGATAGCTAGCTGCGAAAGAAAACGAATGCAGGCTCGAGTGCAACATGCAAGCCTCCTAAGCCTTTCAAACACGTGAGCGCCCTGAGCAAACCGGTCAAGCCTCGCACAAGCTAAATTTGGTCATCAGTTGCCCCGAAGCGAATAGGTCGGCTCTTTTTTTGGCCATGACAACGTGGGAAAGGACGAGATCAGTTGGAAGCAAAAAGGCCGTTTTGGGCTCTCGCTAGCTAGTAGGATAGGTATGATACGGTAGGAAAGGTTGCAATTGAATCCAAAAGGGTTCTAGTAGTTAGGTTACAATGTTGTCATACCGGTACAGCCTTCTCTATCCCATCCATAGTCCTGCGTTGTACGTAGACAGTTGGGTGAGTGGTGGCATATTCTGGTGGCATTGTGGGATCAACTGTCCACATTGAGAGTTTTTCTCTGCTTTGGTGGTGGGATCGCGGTTTAATTCTTTGTGGAGCCCTGCGTGGTCTTTGGAAGACACCCGGACAACGAGACACGCCAATACCGGTACTATCTCCTGTGTTCAAGAGGGTACTCCTGGAGGGTCGAATTACTATCTTCTTCTTGGAGTGCAACAACAAGCAAGAGCAAACCCATCCACTATTCAGTTCCTGCATCATGGATGTTCCATCAATGATATCTTCTCCAGCCATGTGTAGGATCGACATCAAGTGAGTGTTTGTGGAAAGCTGTTTGGCTGTCCCAACGACCTGCCATCAAACCTGGCTCAGAGTGGTAATCCATCATGGCGCGGGCATCCAAGTTGGCAACCTTTGCCATGGTTTCACAATGTTCCTGACACCCTTCAAGAGTCTTGGGGTCCAACAGCCACTGGCTGACCCACAGCTGATCATAGCTTTTCCTTGGACAAGAGGTACTTGAGAGGGAATGGACACTGACCTACTTCGTCCTTGGAAAGAAGGGAGTCAAAGCTATGCTTGCAGATTAGATGTTTGGTTGGGACATGATAGGTCCAGACAGACAGCATGCTTTCGGATGCCTTGAGGGCTGGCAAATTGCGCAAGTAGGCAAACAAAGCCAAGCTTGGTGGGTGAGTGAGCAACCCTGGAGGTAAAGGGTGCATCGGGTGGGGTGAGGCACTGATTCAAGCCAAAGAAACGCAAGGTGTCACTGTAAGGCTCCAGCGATGGGAAATCCGGTCCTTCCACAAAATGAATGCGAAGTCTCCATTCCTTGTTCTTCAGGATTTCGCTGCCATTTCGTGTGGAGGGACACTTGAGAGCAGAGTGAATGAATTTGGTATCAGAATGACATCAACCAATCTTTCATGGCCATGTGAAGAAAGTCACCTGATCCAACTATGAGCTCTACCTTGAGACATGTGGCTTCTTCGATCGTTTTGACCATGGGGATGCAACTGCAACCTGGGATACCCGTCACGAGGAGGTGCTCACGGCTTTCACCCTGTTTGATCGCCTTGGCGACAAAGCCACGATTGTTGTCAAAACGGTGGTACAAAATGACGCGAATGGCCGAATGGCAACCTCACTTCTGCGACACCAGACATAGACACCATCTGCAGCCTCGCAGAAATCAGCATCAAAGCTCTCGCTGCTTAGGTTGAATCCAGACATTTGTTTTGGTTGTTTTCCTTTGTGAAAGTGATTGCTTTGTGGTTGTTTTGATGTCAGCTTTTTGGCTTCGAGCAGAAGACAGAGACTACCAGTACATGTCAAGCAAAAGATTTCCCGCGTCGTACCGGTGGCAACCGGTGGTTTGAAGGAAGCTTCGGGAATGAACAAAAATCTCCTTTCACACACTCGGTTGCTGTTCCTTGGTGTTCATTTGAAATAAGCCGGTTAAAACGCTTGACATAGCATGGAGATTTTGGGCAACAACATCTCAAAAGAACACACACGAACACTCGTTGGTACCGGCACAGTCAAGACCCAATTCATTCAAGCCACAGTTAGTTGTCTGTACCAAAGCTTATTCGCTTATTCAAATCCTTTCGACACACAAAGAAGACTCTTCCTTTGAGCACAAATAGCACACTAAGAAAGTTGGCGACACAAGAGATTGACTGCTTGAACAAATCCAATGATCGTCAACGAACCCATCAACAGGTTCAGAGCAAACTTCTCGAGCAAAATGGTTCATTTCGCAGTTCCCAAAATCTACATGTACTTGGTGTCCCTTCTCTTTATAACGTCCATCGTATTAGTGACTGCGCTGGAATTTCTGGCACTGATTCCCATGACATATTTCTCAAATCGTTTTTACCATGCGTGGAGCAATGTTGTCTCTTCCCCCAAGAAACGAGCTTCCCACCGCCAAAGAATGCACATGGGGCGAACACTGGTCACGCACACACCCGAAGAGCCGTTCTTTCCATGAGGAAGTTGTTGGCAAAGAAGATCGGGGGAGCGAACAATCTGGAATGCCCTTGTACACAACTGAATTGGCTCTTGGGATATCGCCACAGCAAATACATGAACTTTAAAGAATCTAGCTAGAGAGTTGTTTGCAACTTGGTCACGATCGTCATGGTGTCAATTCTGTACGGTACGGGTATTAAGCCGATCCTAGTCGTCCCGGAATACGGTATACGGTAGATTTGGTGGAGATCTAATCGAGCCTGCCGGGGGGGCTTATGTGACAAGATAATTGTATACCACATGAATATAATATAAACTCGGGTTCCTGTGAGATCCCGGAAGAGTACTGAAAGTTGTATAGTAACGATTCCGTACTCCACGGAATTTTGCCATAATTCCGGGCGCGCATGCCGGAATCCGGAATGTATCTCTCAACTGAAGGCTTCTTGGCTGGCCGGCTGCGAAATGAGAATACCGGATACCGTATACCGGGTACGACTAGCATCGGCCTTAGTACCAAGTACCGGTGCGATGCACGTGGAACGAAACGGCAGGTTTTGTATTGGTACAGTAGGATTTCTACGTGTTCTACTGAAACTGACCGTTAAATACAAAACAAGCCGTTACTTATTCCATAAGTCATACAAAACCAGCCGTTATCGTTCCATTCGAAACGAACCGATTACTTAAGGACGTCTGTGCCCCATGGGTCTCCGGCCTCCGGCCTGACTTCGGGCAGTCGGGCTTGCGCCCTCCCTTAAGCCCTCGGTCAGACCTCCGACCTTCGGGTCCCTGCCTGACCCTTAAGTAGACGGTTCGTTTCTAATCACAGCAAAGGCCTTCTGTCCTTTTTAGCGCGAGCACGTGTCTGAAGATCCGCTCCAAATGGTTGTTAAATCACATTTTTGCATCCAATCCAACGGTCAATACCCCTCTCAAAAATTCCGAAAGGCTGCTCGAGACCTCGAGAGCTCCTCGAGACATGAGAGTTCAGTTAGTTGAAGGCCACGAAGATGCTGCAACAGTACATGTACTAGTAGGAGATTGGATTGCACAACAATGGCGACGACTTTGTGGATATCGCTTAGCTTGGTGGCTGCCATACTCCTCCTTGTTGACCCAAGTTTGGCAGCCTCCAGTAGGAACAGCGAGAGAAAGGATGCAGATGGCAAAAAGACAAAGCATGGTCTCCCTAGTAGTAGACCACGACGACGAGTCCAGCAACGCTGCGTGTCAAGAGGATGGCAGAATGTCTCTGATGACCGCTCTAATGGCGGTGATTATGAAGGATTGCTTGCTCTGTTCCAGGCAACGCTTCCAGAGTACACTCAAGACAGCCTCCAAGATGAAAATTCCCCTCCCAGTCAAGCCTTGAGGTGGCTGGCTTTGCACCCTTATTTGTCCACTATGGAGCCGAGGAGGAGAACACAATCGTTTGCCATGGCGACGCTTTACTTCTCCATGCAGGGTCTATACTGGCCGGATGATGCTCAGCAATGCTGGTTGGCATTCAATATCTCCGAATGCGATTGGAATGGCATGGATTGGTGTGACGATGGAAGAATCGTTCCATGATTTATCTACAAAAAAATCTGCAACAACCACAACTCCAGCCAAGCATTCCTCCGGAAGTGAGCCTCTTGACCGGGCTTCGCAGTGTTGCCATTCAAAACAGCGACATGAATGTGTCATTGAGTCAATCCATGCCATGGCAGCTCCTTCAAGACTTGACAAAGCTGTCTGCCATTGATATTCGAGGAAATCATCATTTGCATGGCACAATTCCGACTGAAATCGGCAGGATGAGTCTGCAACGCCTTCATCTTGGAAACAATCAACTCTCGGGAGACCTGAAAAGTCAACTTGGATTGCTGACGAACCTGGTTTGGCTGAGTGTCGGCGACAATGGAGGGATTTCAGGCACGATTCCCACCGAGTATGGGATGCTGTCGCGGTGTGAACAATTGCAGCTGAGATCCAACAATATTACAGGACAGCTGCCAACGGAATTAGGTATCATGACAAGCTTGGTTTCTCTCGGTCTGGGTGATAATTCTCTCTCAGGAATGGCGGTTCCTTCGGAAATTGCCATGCTTTCGAATCTCCAAACCTTGAATCTGTACAACAACTCCATCACGCATGTTCCCCACCAGCTGACGTTGCTGACGAACTTGATGCATCTGCATCTCAATGACAATCAACTCTCGGGAAACCTCCCGACGTATCTATCCGACTTGACAAGTTTGAGGGTTTTGACAGTTGGACACAACTTCTTTGCAGGGACACTTCCTGTTGGCTTGGCCAATCTAAACAGAACTCTAGAGAGTCTCGAACTGGAGGGGAACAATTTTCATGGAGGAATTCCATCCGAATATGGCGCCCTTTCTTTATTGGAGACACTACGAATCAATCACAACTCGCTGTCTGCAGGTGTGCCCACTGAAATCGGCGAATTGACTCGGCTATGGAGGTTGAATTTGGCACACAACAACATGACAGGTACCATCCCTACCGAGCTCATGGCCATCCCGACACTGTCACGGCTCTATCTCTCCGACAATTTGCTATCGGGACCACTTCCGACTGAGCTGGGCAAGCTGCGGCATTTAACCGTATTGGATCTCTCTCACAATCTGTTGTCATCGGTTCCCAGTGAGATTGGGTTGCTGACTAACAATTTGGTCTCGGTAGACATCTCCTCCAACCAACATCTCTCTGGACCGCTCGAGCAGTTCGGGCTCTTGGTCGGCACGGGCACCCTAGCCTTTCTGAACATCAGCGGCACCATGTTGTCTGGGACCATCCCAGAGGACCTGTGCTTCCTACGGAACCAATATTGCAGCTTTGGTGGCCCAAGTTTCAGCTCCATCAGTTGCATTCTCGACTTTGATTGTACCGCTAGCCTGTGTGGATGCGATTGTACCTGCGGCATCGGAGTGGGCATTGAACGGATCTCATCATCGACCACCACCACCACCACCACCACCACCACCACCACCGCGCATAAAGGGAAGGACATGAACGATGAAAACCTAGCAACCAAATTCAACCCACACAGTGGTCCCACTTCAAGGCCTTCTTCTGTTTCGAGAATCCATCCAGATGCAAGAATTTGTCCTATGATGATTGTTTGGTTACTGTGGCTGGTTCCCGCAATATTTGACTGAGAATGTGACTCAACATGAAAACAAAAGAGATACACCCAACAACAATTTTGCCATTCCTGACTACTAAAACATGGAGGAATCTGTACATCCATTCGCATGTGGAGCTGTTTCAAAATCAAATCCAGTGCAACAAGCCCCAGGCGAACTCAGGGACCAACAACTATTACTCCAGGACCTACTCCTCCGCCCACAATGGGGATGGTAACCAATATGGTACTCAACTAGAGGTTCCGTGAAATGCACCCATGGATAGCACCACGGCAATCAGCGCCGTACGCCTCCTCAGCAGGACCATCCAAGCCCTCCAAGATGTCCCAAGTATTCCCCAGGGGAGCACCAGCATCTACTCCAACATGTGGAACCCTGGACCAACTCCCACCACTGGTACTGCTGGCCCAAACACCCACCACAAATAATGGGACGGTACTCCTGGACCCACACCCTACAACTGATACTCCAGGGCCAACACCAACTTGTGTTACTCCAGGCCCAACACCCATAATATGGATTAAGGATTCTCATTTAGATTCAGTCTACATGTAGCTTTGTTTTGGGTGTAGTCGTAACCAGGGAGCCAACGAGGACATCCGTTCAGATCTCCAGCTGCAAGATACAAGGCTATGAAGGACTCGACTCAGAAACGTAGGGCCGACCTCCACTACTTGCATTCGCATAGTTTGCTTTGCTTTCTGGCAAAGTTGGAATGATGTCGTCAGTCACAATCACAACGTTTGCTTCCGCCAAGGTCACTTGATGCCACATACTCACCCGACTTCTGGCTGACAGCCACGTTCTGTTCGTCTTCGCCTTGAAGAGTGTACGAGTCGAGTCGTCCCCCGCAATGGAGGAGCGAACCATGAAAGTGAACCAGCACATGACATGACGAAGGCTCCCGTCGGAAGGCCATTGTTCGATTGCCTTGACTTTCAAGACAGGGAACTACTACTTGACAGGGGGCTACCACGCCGCTGAGACTCAAGTTGCCAATCGTATGCAAGTGTGACGTCCATTTGGCAATGGAAGCGTCGATCATGATGGTGTTGTTGAGGGCCAGGCTTCGAAAGGAATTGAAACAGGTTCGGTTGGGTCCAGGTTGGCACGATTATTCGATTGAAAATTCGATTCAATCCACTAAGACCGACCAAAAGTGAAAAATTAGGGGGGATAGCCAGCCGTAGCTACATGTAGTTAGAAAGCTGGTAGGGGGGAGAGGCGAAATTAAGGATGAGTGGTCACGTTATCGGCATTCTTTTTAAGGGGGGCTTGCACGGAAAAGGAAGGAAGTTCACGGACTCCAACACGCAACACGCAACAACCGAGACAAAAGATCCTCATCGGCTGTTGCTAGCAATTGTTGCCGGAGAAGCACCTTCATCATGGATTGCCATTCCAATTTTCATGCGTTGCCGACAGGCATTGCTGAGAGATCTTCGTTTCCACCTGGATCTTCGTGCCTGTATGCTGGCCGACCAAAAGGAGACCAAGACACCATCGAACGAGGAATCGTGCAAGAGGTGGGCTTGAATTTGGCAGCATCAACAGCATCACAAGAGGACAGAGGCTTCTTGTACAAGATGGTAGGAGGCAATGATGTGTCATTCTGCCAGGAAGAAGAGCTGCTGTACGCTCCTCGCACCCTTGTGTGGATCGCGGCAGGAAATGGGCAACAGTATGAGGGCATTGTGTTGGGATCGTCGGTGGAAGATCCATCTTCTGCCGACAAAACTCGTGTGAAATACAATGTGCAGGTCACAAGGGGTGCCGTGACTACCGTCTATGCCAATGTATCTCCTCAAGACATTTCCTACCGAGCCACTTCTGCCAATTCCAAAACTTCCTCTACTGGTACTGCTAACGCTAGCAGAGAAGAGGAGAAAAAGGTTGAGGTTTCAGATCCCGTGAAGGCGATCTATCCCAAGTTGGAACCCAAGGTCCACATGGCGCCCAAACTGGAACTGCTTGAAAAGACGGAACCAAAATTGGAAACAGAGCATGAATCAGCTGAACCAACTACACCCCAAGAATCTGGACAAAGCGACGTTTGTCCCGCTACTGACTCGGCAAACAAGGAATCATCACACTGTGACCAGCATGATCAAGGGGTTCCCAATTCTGATGCGAAGGAGCCACTGGTGCAACGCTATCATCATGAACGCTCTCCATGGCAGGAACACAGTCATCATCCTCGTGGCGAACATGGAGCAATGGAACCGCACACGTTGGTCTACAATCGGCAACCCAACCCATTCCACACGATTCATCGCTGTGCGGAAAATCGCATTGCCGATGCCAAGACGTGCCTGTGGAACTTTTACAATGGGCCTTTTCCCTTGTTTGGATTCTGCGTCTATTTTCACCTAAAGGGGCGCTGCATGCAGGGGCGCCACTGCCATCGAGCGTCCAGTCACCGCGCCTTGACAATGGAGGAAGCTCGTCAACTGGAACATGTGCTGGCGCCTGCTGTTCATCCACAAGGGCCCATTTACTCAAGGGAGCATCATCATCCACTCATGTTGTCCCCTAATGATTTTGGTCGAAGCAGGAACTACTCAAGGGAACATCATCAAACCATGTTGGAGGCAAAGGAAAACCTCAATGATGCTGGTAGTAGAAGCAGGAACGAAAAAACGAGGCGCAGCTCTTATGAGGAGAGAAATGTAAATGACAAAGATACTGCATCATCTCTTGCCAAGAAGAGGCGTTCCCACAACAACGAAATCGACTACCGGTACAGCGATGGAGCGGAGGAGGGGAGGAACAAGCAGCAACGATTGAGTGACACGAACAAACACTCAATGACTGACACCCACAAGGCAATCAAATGGACACCGCCGTCAAAAACCACGGTGGATCAACCTTGGGATCACTCTTGTTGCGAACCGCCACAACAGCAGCAAGTGGATGAAACCATTCTGATGACTCTACCTGCCTATGCATTTGGTGTGGATTTCTTTGTGCAAAATATCATCGGAGCTGGAGGCGCAACAGCGAAACGACTTGGTAACCGTTTTGAATGCACTGTTGATCTTCACGGCGAAGCATTGGAGCACAGATCAAAGCATTCCATGATGCAGAAGAGTTCAGTATTGTACGTCAAAGTGACGGGGAAGAAACCAGATCGGTTGTTGGATTGTAGAAGGTTGATGGAAAAACTTCTTGTCCGGGCAGTGGCACCAGAACTTCGTTCATTTCTCCTATTCCGGCTGGCCAGCCTCAACCGGCGTGACACAGGCAATCAAGCAATCCTTCACACAAGAGGTCAACAAAAGGTTTACCGCATCGACAACCTTGCTAGCCTTCTTGAAGGAGCAGTGGACAGCGAACAAAAGCATCTCACGGTTGTCAATGCGGGGCCAGTTGCTGATCCACAGGGCAGGTTCATACCCTTGCAACCAGTGAAACGCAATCTCGAGTTTCTTCGAAACTCTCACCGTTCCTGTGTGGTTGAGGTCTTTGAAAAAAGTGAAGCATGCCCAAACATTGTTTATCCTTTCCTTACTATTTATGGTTCTACACATGAAGCCGTGGTGGCATGTCGGGCTGCCATGAGACAGGTTGCACTTTCCTAATGCACTTCACAACGACAAGCGTTAGGAAGGTCTGCACAACGCCTCTGGACTTGATAGGCGTTTTGTGTACAACAGAAACTCTTCATCTTGCAGTAATGCTTTCGCGTCTACAATTGGTTTCCTGGGTTCCATTCGTTGTGCTTCGATGTGTAATACTTGATTTCGTTTGCAGCTTCCCACAATTGGAGTCGCAGCTGTCTTATCATTGTCGAAACCTCGCGCTTAGCCTGGAAACACTCGGACCACTCCGCCTTGCTCCAATCCGTTTTGCGTTGTTGCCTGGTACACAGGTCTTCAAGATTGCTCAGCTCGCTTTCTAGCTCTTCATATTCCTCTGCAAGATTTACCAGACGGAACAAGGCCTCGACTGATAGCTCCAAAAATGACGACGCCTTCCATGGTGGCCTACTCTTGAAAGAAGATTTTTCAGAATAGGCATCTGCATCTACAGATTCCCTGAAAGTCTTCAAATCCCTGGCCATTGCGGTCGCAGCAGCTCCAATCATGGCACCGATACTCTGCTGTTCGAGTAATTCACATGTTGCAGACAAGAACAGAACACCGAGAAGCAACCCAGCTGCAGAAGACAAAAATATGCACATGACGAATCGACGGCCGATGCTGCAGTGAAACAAGTGCCACTAATCTCTGCGTTGCCCTCTTGCTCTGCGATTCATACCGTACCAGTACCAGTACCCCAAAAAACATACCAAAGATCCAAAAGTTTTTCAGGTCAGGATTCATGTGGAAATGAAAATTTCAGAGCTGCACAGCTCTCAGTACTAACACGGCCGCACGCGCCACGTCCCACATTGCCACGCATAGGCCGTTACTGGTACTAGTACCAAACATCGGATACAATGTAACGCCTTCAATCCGAAGCTTTTCTCGCTCTTCTGAAACTCGGTTACCTCCACATGAACGGAACGAACCTACAGTGTAGCTAGAGATCTGGTTTTGCGGATTCCAGTAGCTGTCTTTGTAAGTTCACACTCTTGTCGAGCTTAGCGGCGTGCATGTTGCACATCTGCCATCCTGTTCCTCTTCTTTCGTCGCCTTCTCGATGCACAGACAGGGACCTCTCTGTCGGATGTACCGGATTGACTCATTCGTTGTCGATATTTCTTGCCGCGTTCGAGAGCACTCCCGCGGGCTTGGCACCCCAAACAGACGCAGAAATTGTGTAGATTGTTGCAGGTTCCGAAACGGAATCCTCCTTCCACCAGTGATTCGATTCCACTTGGCATACTTGATTGAAAGGTTCTAGTTTCCAAAACGGGAAATGTCATTGGAAGGCTTTGATAGCCGGCATGGAATGTAACGTCGATTGCTCTTTTCTCTTTTTGCGTTGGCACTGCTTGGGCCATGGATTTGTCATCGTGTTGTGTGTGTGTGCATTTTCAGTATCCTTCATCTTGTTCCTCCTCGTCCTCTGCTTCCTCTTCACTATCTTCTTGTTCCTCCGCCCTTTCTTCCTCTTCTTCCTCCGTGTCATTTTCATTGGATCCTATTATTTCTATCCGCAGTAGATCCACTTGTACATCCATGGATTTTTGTTTGTGAAATTTGTACATTTGTGGAATATCAAATTTCATTTCAGCCACGACTTGTACTTGTAATCCCCAGCTTTGACATGTTTTGACGAGAAAGGGTCGTGTGGATGTCTTGTGAAAGGAGTAGACGGCTCGTCGTGCCAATCGAATGGCCGTTTGCAAGAATTGTAGGTCCATGCCGGCATTGTGTTTAGTACCAAAGGGTGGATTGGTGACGACCGTATCGACGCAATTGGAGTGGAGTTGTGGCAAACCGTCATTTGGTACTGTTGGTTGTTGTTTTTGCTTTTGTAACAGTGGATTGGTCAAGACTGGAGCGGCATGTTGGTATTGTTGATTCTGGGAGGATCTTCCTTTGCCTCTTCCTCGACCACCTCCTCGAC